GGGGGGAGTGGAAACCAGGTGGAGGGGAACTATGGGGGAAAAAAGAGGAACAACTAATAATCTGAACAATAAATATTTAATTTAAAAAAAAAGAAATAAAATAATTGGGTGGGGGGAAAGAATGATGGACTGCAAAGGGAGCAGCAAGGGGTGGGGTTTACTGAGGGGATCATGGTAGGGACTAGGCGCTCTGAATGTGTGACTCCAAGAGGAATGAGAGAGGATGGGGGCCCAGGGGCCTGGGAAGAGGGGAATTTCAGGTTGTGGGGACAAAATGATGGCCTAGGACAGTGATGGCGAACCTTCTGAGCTCGACGTGTCAGCATTTTGAAAAACCCCACCTTAACTCTGGTGCCGTGTCACATATAGAAATTTTTTGATATTTGCAACCATAGTAAAACAAAGACTTATATTTTTGATATTTATTTTATATATTTAAATGCCATTTAACAAAGAAAAATCAACCAAAAAAATGAGTTCGCGTGTCACCTCTGACATGCGTGTCGTAGGTTCGCCATCACTGGCCTAGGATGAACAGATCCAGAAGTTCAAGAGACCTGGGTTAGCACACGTTGGAAAGGGCTTGATTCTATTTGTGAGCAAGACTGGTTTGCAGGGATTTGTGGAAGGAGTGGGGCTGTAAGAAGGCATGGACTCTGGATTCCTGGGTGAGTGGGGAGCAGAAGGGAGCCTCTGAAAGGATGCCACGCCCAGAGGTGGGGGTGGGCAGGACACTCACGAGGTGATGGCCATTTCCACGAGCATGAGGGAGCGAGGGATCCAGAGCCCGAAGCAGCAGAACACAGACACCACCTGGGAGAGGAGCCGGAAGCGGCTCAGGGAGGGAGACTTTGTGCTCACCCTCTTGAACCTTTTGTGACAAGAGCTCAAGGAAGCAAAACCTAAATATTTGAGGGACTATTACTTTAAAGTGGCCAGCTGGAAAAATCACTAATGGAAATTTTAAAAAATTTTAATTCAGCTGTCAGTTCCTTCTATGTCTAGGGTTAGAGACAGCATGTCACCTTCAGCCAGGGTTTTCTTTTCTTTTTTTTTTTTTTTGAAGACTATCTCATCCTATATCCTTGGGGTAGGAGTGGATATGTTCATCCTTAGGAGTAAATGGATCAAGATTCAACCCTTACTCTTCAACATCTCATGTTATGGGAGTGTCTCTGATGCATTGAGATGGTTTAGGCAGATGTCATCTGCCAGGAAAGACCCTCAAGGGCCCCACTCTGCTCCAAATAGACACACACAGCTCACCAGAAGGAAACAGAAGTCCAATCTTATGATCTATGAGCAAGCCAAAGGCCACCTAGTGGCTGTGGGAATTTTAAAAGCCTACAATGTAAGGGTAGAGCTAAGGATGATCCCATGAGGTAAACATTCTTCCCCTCTTGCTCTCTGCGGAACCACTGCTTGCCTGGACAGAGAAGAGGCTTGCTTTTAACAGCAACACCCTGGGGAGTAGCGATTCGGCCACTGGTGGCAGAGCGGTTTCTTTAGTTGTCTCTGTGGCTCTAAGAATTCCAACACTCCATCCCACTGCCTGGGGCCTTCCAAGCAAATGGAGATCCAATTAGAAACCCCACCTAAGGTGGTAGAGGCAGGAACTTTTGCTGACTGGAATTGTTGAGTTTAGAGGAATTCTCAAAACGGTCCCTGTCTCCTCCTCACTCCCTCCCAAAGGGCAGCTGCAGGCCCTCACCGTGGGCGCAGAGCTGCTCCAGAGCAGGGTCCTCCGCTTGATGGGGCAACGGGTGTTCTTGTACAGGTAGACAGCATCCTCCAGGAAGATGGCAATTGAGCCCAGGGCAAGCAAGGTCATGGTGGCCGTGAGGGCAATCTCCAAAGGGCCCAATGCTAACGTGGAAAGAGGGCAGACTCCAATGAGTTGATGACCAGGACTGAGGGGCAGAAATGTGGCTTCCTCACTTGGATTTCAATGGCTTTACCATACGTAGAATTATCTGGCCTAGGCCTATCCATGCAGAAGAATGGCTTCTTAGACCTAGAAAACTTAACATGTGACTAAGAAATAGTCATTCCTCTACATGGATGGGAGACAAGACCAGATCATTTTAGGTATGTTGACACTTACCTGAGCCAGGGTATAGACACCAAACAGGTTTTTACATACTTAGCAAAAAAAAATTTGGATTAGGAGTTCACTTTTCTACCTCCAGTGCCAGGTGTCATGCCCGCAAACAGGGGCCAATCAGCATTATCACCGAAGCAGGATGTAATATAGTGGTATACTTTAGAGCTGTTTAAAATTGATTTCAAAAATTATGTCGTGAAACTGTAACATCAAAAAGGGATTTTAGCAAAAGAGAAATGGACACAAAACTCCAAGGACCTTTGACCCATGTTGGCCCCACACTTTGTCTTACATTAAATGTGGTCCAGTAGCTTGCTCTCTCTCTCTCTCTCTCTCTCTCTCTCTCTCTCTCTCTCTCTTTTCTAATCCTCACTTGAGGATACGTTTTTATTGATTTTTAAAGAGAGGTGAAGGGAGAGAGTGAGAGAGAGAGGGAGGGAGAGAGAATTGATCAGGTCTCCCATATGCGCCCTGACCCGGGATCGGACCTACAACCTGGGTATATGCTCTAATCGGGAATCGAACTCACAAACTTTTGGTGTACAGGATGATGCTCCAACCAACTGAGCCACCCAGCCAGGGCCCAGAAGGTCTCTTTAGTTTATTACATATTTGAGGAGTTGTTAGAAAGTAGCTGTCCAGGACCTGCCCTCAGAGTTGCCGCTCTAGCAGATCTGGGATAGGCCCAGTAACTGTATTTTTAACAAGCTCACCTGATAATGGTCAGGAGATAAGCATTTTGACAAATGCCAGTGAAACTCCTCAGGCCTCACTACTGCTAACAGGGAAACATTAATCTAGTTACAATAATTGTTTCTGAACATGTGACTCATAAATGCAACAACTCGTTTTAAAGGGCTCTTTGTCCTTAGTGAGTAAGCCTGGGCCCTCATTTATCTAAGTCCCTTCCCTAGTTGGCAGGCTCTCCTTCCCACCTCCTACCTGGCCAGATGAGAGGAAGAGGGGGGAAAGGAAGACTGTCAGAACCCAGTCCACTGTCCTCCTGCATTGGGAGTAGAGTATGAGGAAGGTGTTGGTTAGGTGCCTTACGTTTGGTGACTGAGTGCAGCTCAGTCAGAGAGACAATACTGCTGAAACCAAGCCAGGGAGGAAGGAGACCACAGCAGAGAACTGAGTTGTCATCTGGATCAGTCATAGAGCACCAGGTCAAAGGTGACGCTGTCAAAAAATATCACCTCGATCCTGGTTGCTTTTCAGGGCACACGTTTTTCTCTCTGTTTGGTTTGTCCAAGGGAGGCTCCTTGTCTCCGGTCACAGCCGGGTCTAATGACCAATCCGGAGGGCCTGCCATGGGGAAGGTGGCCCTGGGGTTCTAGCTCCGAAGCAGGACTTCTGAGGTTGGTGGTAAACTTTTTCTCTCTATCAACAGGTCACAAAAGACAGGATTGTGCTGTTTTCTCTCCTTCTACCCATCCCTTTCTCAACTCACCTCCGTTTAGTTAGGATAGAGCCCTCTGAGTGTCTAACTTACTGGCTTGGCAGGGTGATCGCATCATAAGGTACAAAAATGTCAAATCATTATACTGTATACCTGCAATTAATATAACTAATATAATATGGCATGCCAACTATATGTCAATAAAAATTAAAAATAAATGCATAAGTGACTGGCTTGGCGTTGCTGTTTCTATTCAGCTCTGTTGCCACTTTCTTAATTACCTCTCCAGATACTGCTCTAGTAGGCCCTGCAAGTTTTGAAAAAAAAAACACACACAAAAAAACGGTTGCAGTCCTTTACTTTACCTTTTTCTCCTGGAAACTTTTTTTTTAAATCCTCACCCAAGGACATGTTTTTATTAATTACTAGAGAAAGGGGGAGGGAGAGAGAGAGAGAGAAAAACACTGGTGTAAGAGTGAAACATTGGCCGGTTGCCTCCCGTGTGAGCCCGGACAGGATGGAACCCGCAGCCTTTGGTGTACGGGGACCCTGCGCCGACCAGCTGAGGCGCCTGGCCAGAGCCTCCTTGAAACTTGTAAAATCAAAACATCACAGAGGATGTTTAACAGGATTTTACCCTCACACAACAGTTACGGGATGCACATCAGCCGGCCGTCTTTCAGAATCATTCCAAATCGATTACAGAGGTCAGCCTTTAAAAACCAAACAGGAAGACATGAGAGAGAGAAAAAAGGGAGAACTGTATTTTCATCAAAACGTTGGAGACCAGAGAGACCTTTCTAAGCTTGGGCACAATCCAAGAAGTCACAAAGGGAACAAGGGTCAAATTTGATACCAAGAGTTTAAACTTCTGGAGTTTTTTAAAAAGGCAGGAAACAGACTGGGGGTAAACGTTTTTAATAAATGTGTGCTAACGTTTAAGATCTTTATTACATAGAGAAAACTGATAACAAAGACAGGAGGCTTTTGCAAATAAGTGCAAAAAGCACTAGGAAGGTTGAGAACCACTGCCATAGAATATGATGCAGGCATGAAAATGACATCAGCACAGCTCAGGACACGTGGGAAAATAGTTAACCTGCATCATAGTCAGAGAAGAGCAAAATAGCAGTGATATATTATTTTTTGTTTTATGAAAAGATAATGTTCCTAATATTATTAACTAATAGCCATGAAACAACTTATATGTCTGACAATATTGGAATTATTGTCAACTACCCTATAGAGCAGCGGTTCCCAAACTGTGGGTCGCGACCCCTTTGTGGGTCGAACGACCCTTTCACAAGGGTCGCCTAAGACCATTGGAAAACACATATATAATTACATATTGTTTTTGTGATTAATCACTATGCTTTAATTATGTTCAATTTGTAACAATGAAAATACATCCTGCATACCAGATATTTACATTATGATTCATAACATAGCAAAATTACAGTTATGAAGTAGCAACGAAAATAATTTTATGGTTGGGGTCACTACAACATGAGGAACTGTATTAAAGGGTCGCAGCACTAGGAAGGTTGAGAACCACTGCTATAGAATATGATGCAGGCATGAGAATTTTGTGCATGCCATAAAAAATATTTGCAAAGAGTATATAATAATATTTTTAAAAAACTTATTAACACACAACTTAAAAAAACACAACTTCTTAGCAGACCCACTAGGGGATAATAAAGAACATTTACTCCTTCCTCATATCATACAAAAACACCTAAATATGAAAGTTAAAAATAAGGTTTTTAGAAGAAAACAGAAGTATATCTTCATGATTTGAGATATACAAAGATCTTTTAAAATAGGACACAAAATCACTAATAATAAAAAAACTAATAAATTGGATTTCCTTAAAATCAAGAATATCCATTAGTCAAAAGAAACTATTAAGAAAATGGAAAGGCAAGCTCAGACTGAGAAAAGATATTTGTAATATAGATAGCCACCAAGAGATTCATATCCAAAATATATAAAGAATTCCCATCAGTAAGAAAAAGAACATAATTTTTTAAATTAAAATAAAAAGACCTAAACCTTACAAAAGAAAATACCCAAATGTTCATGAAACATAAAAATGTGCTAAGTTTCAATAGTCATCGGAAAATACAAACTGAGGTGCCATTCCATACTCACAAGAAGGGCTAAAATGAACAGCACTGAGCATTCCAAGTGTCCGTGACAATGAGCAACAATTGGAACCCTCATACATTGCTGTTGGGAGCAGCACAAGCACTTTGGAAAACAATTGGGTAGTACCTATTAAACATACACCTAACTATGACAAGAAATTGCACTCCTGGATACTTATTCAATAGGAATGCTTACAGTCATCGAAAAAATGTTTAGAGCAGCATTATTCATAATGGCCAAAACTGGACACAGCCCCTATGTTCTTCAATAAGAATGCAGACAAATAAATTGTGATATGGAATATCACAATAAAAAAAAAAGGATGAACTATCGATACATGCAACAAAACAGATTACTCTTAAAAACATAATGATGAATGAAGGAAGCCAGACTCAAGAACATTTACTGTTTGATTTTGTTTATATGAATTAAAGAACAGGGGAAACCAATCTATAAAGGTGATATAGCCCTGACTGGTTTGGCTCAGTGGATAGAGCGTTGGCCTGCGGACTGAAAGGTCCCAGGTTTGATTCCGGTCAAGGGCATGTACCTTGGTTATGGGCACATTCCCAGTAAGGGGTGTGCAGGAGGCAGCTGATCGATGTTTCTCTCTCATCAATGTTTCTAACTATGCCTCTCCCTTCCTCTCTGTAAAAAATCAATAAAATATATTTAAAAAAAAATAAAGGTGATGCAGGTTGGAACAGTGGTCATTGTAGAAACATTAAGTGGGAGAGTTTAAGAGACCCTACTGGATGCTGGAAATGTTCTATAGGTTGATCTGGGTGGTGGTTTCACAGGTGTACACCTAGGTACAAATTCGTCAAGCTACATACTTAAGATCATTGCCTTTTATTGCATTAATTATATCTTTAAAAAACCTTATGTGGACAGAGCAGAATGAAAAATTAGCACAGTAAATTATAACCATGTTTTAAAAAATTAATTGGGGAAAGGCACAAAAATGTTGAAGAAAAGAATGAGGCACTAATATCTTTATCTTACAAAATGGAGAGTCAAGACACACTATCCATAGTTGGCAGAATAAGAAATAAACTATTGGCATGTATATAAAGCTGTAAAGATAACCAACGAAAAATATTGCCATAATTATATGGAAAGAATGGAAGAAAGTTGGTGCTAAGTGAGCTAAATCCTTATGTATCATAAAGCAGCAACAGATAATATCCAAAATTGATATTCTAGGAAATA